TACATCTTTGCTATTTTGGTTGATTGGGTGCATGACATTTATAGCATGTGTCGTCCTGGAAGAGCGATCCTCTGTTGCTTTTCCTGAGGTTACTTGACATTCCCATCAGCTTCAGCTTTACTTTGTGTTCAGTGCTTATTAGGAAATGTAAGGCAGTAGCCTGAATAAACCACGAAGGGGTCTCTTCCCCAGAAAATTCAGCAATTCTTTCCATTTGTCCCTTGCAAGACACCATTGTTCTGAAATTCAGTCTTCACCTGAGGCCCAAAGTGAATGCTTGTTACGTTTCCTGGGAAGTGATGAAAGGACGGCATTGTAAGTGGGGGATAAGTGGTGGCGCAGACCACCTCCTCTGTTAAGTGAGGGCTTCTCAACTCGGGTGTAAATGGATTCTTTGACACCTTTCAAACCATCCATCCTCTCTGTCTAAAATGTGCACCTGGTGGTCCTCAAACCTGAGGAGCTGGCCCTATGTTGAGCCATGCGTTTGTTTAGTGGTTGTAAAGTATCCCAGATTCCCAGGTTTCTACAGACAGAAGCATGGCTGTGCCATGGGCTCACCAGTATCCCCCATTGTGGGCAACATCTACATGAAGGAAGTGGAGAGCAAAGCCCTGAACTTCTTCAGAGGAACAGCACCACGTCATTGGTATATGGATGACACATGGATCAAAATTAAAACCAGGAAGTTCAAGCCCTCACAGAACACATCAACTCCGTGAACAGTAACATCAAGTTTACACGAGATGATGTTCACAACAACATTTTGGACTGCCTATACTGTGCAGTACACATTGAAGAGGACAGGAGCCTGCAAATTGGTGTTTACAGGAAAACCCCCACACACAGACCAATACCTACTTTTGGATTCTCTCCACCCACTAGAGCTAAAGTTAGGGGTCATCAGGCCCCGGCACCACGGAGCTGAGAACATACCAAGAAGTGCTCAAGCCAGAGAGAAGGAACAGAACCACCTGAAGGGGGCACTTACAGCCTGTGGATACCCCAAATGGACCTTTGGGAAAACAGTCACAAGATCCAGGAAGAACACCAATACTACAGGGTAGGGCTTTCCAGCGCAGCCTTTAGTTGGTTTAGGTCATAGAAGAGATGAATTACTTTGTTTACATTGGCAAATATGTATCTGAGCTAATTAACATGACGTGTGGAGTCCCACAAGGTTCAATCCTAGGGCCACCTCTATTTAACTTCACAACAAAAAAATGTTCATCCCTTAAGTACTAGTAGGTTAGACTTGTAATGGTCTCTTTTCAGGTCTCTCTAAAAAGGTCTTAGGCAGCCACAGCATGTTCTGAATGCTGCTGCTAGAGTTCTAATAAAGGCCTGAACATTTTAACACATTGCACCAATTCTCATATCCCTGGACTTGCTCCCAGTAGGTCAGAGAATTAATATCTAAATACTGCTGCTCACCTATAAATGACTAAAAGCTTTAGGGTCAAAATACATCACTGAAATGTTTATAGAATATGAATCCTCTAGTCCCCTCAGGTCATCAGGGACCGGTCTGTTGACTGTCTTCAGAGTCAAAACAAAACATGGTGAAGCAGTTTTTAGCTACTATGCACCAAATAGCTAGAATAAACATCCAGAAGTTTTGTGACTTGCTCCAAATCTGACTACTTTTAAATCCAGACCAAGAACATTTATGTTCCCCATTGCCTTCTTCTAGACTAAAAAACCTTGCGTAAACCGAACCTGTTCTCACTCCCAAGTCGTCACATATGGACGCATGGTCAAGAGCCATAGTCGTTAGTTTGTGACGCACTGGGAATCCCTTTTCTGTCATAGTGCGACGTATTGGGGGAAGCCCTGCAGCGTCAGTTTTTAACGGTAAAGGCAGGTACTGTATATGATATTTAACAGAAAAGACAAAGTAAGGTTGGATTTTCATTTAGCTGACGGTTTCATCCAAAGCACATTACAATTGCTATATATGTCAGAGGTCGCAAGCCTCTGGAGCAACTAGGGGTTAAGTGTCTTGCTCAGGGACACAATGGTGGATGGGTCACAGTGGGGGATTGAATGCGAGTCTCTCACACCAAAGGCATAATCTTATCCATTGCGCTATTGCCACCCCCGGTTGGATGGAGAGTCAGAACCACAACTTTGAGCCAGGAGACTGGGGTTTGTGTCTCATGTGAAACAAAAAGTCAACATTAAATATTTTATTTTGGCAGGTTACGACGCAAGTGACGTTAGTTAACTTACATGTTAACTGACATACAAAGTTATTTAAACCCAAACCATGTGTTGTGGTGGCAGCCCGGCTGACAATGAGTGTCCTGTTTATTTTTCCTTTTTTCTTGTGATTCTGTTTCCCCTCGTGTTTTGGCCTGTCTGTGTCTCCTCTGCTCCCCTTGCTTGTGTTCTCCCTCTCTCTCTCTGCTCCTGAGCCCAGCTGACAATCAACACCTGCACCTCGTCAGCCACCTCCTCTGCCTGCCATCCCTGCCAGTATTTCAAAATTGAGCTTATCCAGTATATTCAGTACCACAAAGGTGGTTCACTTCTTACCGGGATAGATCTCCATGGTAACTTATGCTGAACGGTTAACCTGCTCCGGAGCAGGTTATGTTCCAGATAAGAGATCAACTCTGTGAAAAGGCCGCCTACTGACCAATCAGCTCTCTTGGAAAATGACAACACCATCTGTAGGAGACCCCACAGACTGTTTTAGCCAATAAGCTGCTTTATGTTTGCAGCGGTGATGTGGAGAAACTCTTGACTATAACGATATAATCATACAGAGACTGATTAAAAGCCTCAGGCTATTGTTGCCTACAGGTTTTTACAGTACAGCAGGATCAGCATACTTACTGCTTTGAAATGTGTTTAATATTTTGCATTTGCTCCCAGTTCGTTTCACGCACCCTGACGCAGCCGTTTAAATAAATAGGTTTTATTTTTCTTACGTGAGGCTGAATATTATGAGCAGTTTGGTAGGGATATTGAAATACTAAATGTTATATTGTATGAACGTGTGCTATCTATTCAGGTTAGTGTAGCTTTCTTAGGCCTATATACAGAGACTGTAGTCCTGTTCCACCCCACCTTGTGGGCGCAAAAGGTGGGACGGTGACTTTTCAGTAGCCTAAATGTTGAGATTCAGTCTTTCAGCCACTCTTTGAGAACATTTTATGGCATCAATGGATTTTTCATTTCATTGCTTTATGAAGTTAATTTAGAACAATGTTTGGAACACTTTGAGTATGTTAAACAAATTAATCAAAATTTTTGAAGTGACGACAAGTTTTTTAAAGTGAGAGGGAACGGCCCGAGTCTTTTATGAAATGTATGAATTGTGCTAAATAAATTTGCTTTGCCTTCATCTGTATTACATTTTGATTTACTTTGTACTTTTTAATGTTTTCTCTTTATCTTGTTTGCTCATTGTGCTTCTGTGCTGCTAGTTTGTCCTCACTGTGTGGAACAACAAGAAACCTGCTGGAATATCTGATCAAATAGAAATCAATAGAATGTTTGGTAGGATGTCTAATATCCTTGTCTATATTTGGAAAACAGACTGTAGCCATGTAATGAACATGACTTACTGCTGAGTTATATATAAAATAAAGACATGATCTCTTTTGCAATTATCCTTATGACTCTACATTATTTAACTTGCTGTCCACCAACCAATCCAGTCTATTTTACCTGTTAAAATACATGTAAATGGTCAATACAACCCATAACATGCAGTATTTCACTTGGCAGAAAGTGATTGCAGCCTCTACTTATTGACTGAAAGCTAGTTTCTGCCCTGAAGAGTGTTGATTTCATTAATGAGCGACTGGTTTGAGGGTCAGCGCGTTGTTGACTGACAGTAGTTAATCAGCTGTCATTAATTGCATTGTATATTACATGGTTGTGCTCTGTAAGTGAGAAACAGGTTACAGTTACAGAATATCTTATAGCTATGCAGTTTTATAAGCTGCCTGAATTGAACTCAGCAGGTGATAGAACATTCATTATAACGATGAGTGACTTGAGACTTGATTTGGACTCTAACTCAAACACTTGTGAGCTTTTCTGCTTCACAACTCAGGAATTGGAACTATCCAAGGAGCACATGAATGCATCATGAGCCGCTAGTTGCAATCCTCACTACTAGATGCCACTAAAACGTACAAACTGAACCTTTAGGAAACGTTAACATACATAACTTACCTAAAACAATGAATGTTGACTTTTTGTTTCATAGGTCTCCTGGGTGAAAGTCCGGTTTCTGGCCCACCTGTCCAACCAAACCACCTCCTTACTTGGATGTTTCTGTTCATAGCTTACACTTGCTTTCAGTGCCTTAAAAACTGACACCCAGGGGTCTTGATCAAGCATCCATGTGTGACGACTTTGGTGTGACAATGGGTCGGGATTTGTCCAAAATCACTTACTCCACATTTAAATGTTACAAAGTGTTAAATTCTCTGAGGAGCGTTAAAGCTTCAGTATGTTTATCGAAAACCAAGATGCTTAGGTGCTGGTCTAGAACTGGGGTTTTCAAAGTGTGAGGCGGGCCTCCATAAGGGGGCTCCTAACAGAGAGTCTCAGTGAATGGGAGTGAAACAATTACATTACTTACTGCATTAGTTATAAAAAGGAGATCACATAGAATAGTCTACATGTGTGAGAGTTCAGACAAACAGCTGTTTTCCCCCCATCTGAGTCAGAAACTAATAAATACCTGAGGACAAAGCTTTGTCTGAGGGGATGCTGTTACGCCCCAGCCTTTGGTGGCTACATGATGGGCGAACAACACTCCAACACTGACCCAAACTTGACACATATAAACACCTTTAAAACAACCAAATCAATGGAATTTATTAACATAACTAGACGATAAATTAAGAACACTAAAAACACAAGAACATAACACAAAATGCCAAGAGGCAACAAGACCAGCAGATCAAAAGGCCTCTTTCCTGACACATGCACAAGAGCCAAGATTTAGCTTTTAAAATGTAATAAATGATCTGCTGAAATCTACTGAAAGCTGTTTCCTCTTTATCTTGTTTGCTCATTGTGCTTCTGTGCTGCTAGTTTGTCCTCACTGTGGAGATCAACCTTCACACAGGAGCAGTAGTAGGTGGCTGAATGAGAGGGTTTAACGTTCTTGAGCTGCAACTCACAGCCGTTCTGTTTTCTCACAGCAGAGAAATCATTTTTCTGAGGATGATCGTAACCTGAATCTATGCTACCAGTATTTCTGTTTATATCTAGAATCACTCTGAATGTTTCTGTGTCTTTCTTCTGGTACCAGAATACATAATCATAGCCACACTGGTCAGTTCCTCGACAGCTGAAGGAAACAGTTTGACCAGCTTCCCTGGTCAATGTTAAATCCTCCTGAATCAGGTCTGCTGCCATGGCAACCAGCGCTGTAGAGACACAGACAGATAGATGAAGGTCAGTGTGACAGTGTTTGTTCCAGGTGGAGTTTGCTGGCTCCTGATTGGCTGGAAACACTCACCTGAACACAGACAGCACAGAGCAGCAGCTGGGAGGAAAAGCATTGTGTGCAGTGGTGTTTCCTCTGGTGAACCTGGGGAGAAGTGGCGCTCTGATGCAGCTGAGGCCAAACAAGGACGAGCTGTGAGATCAGACGAGGGCCGCGTGGTTTCTAACGGGTCCTCAGTCCTCCCATCAGCCCCTGCGGCGGACAGATAAGGCTGCTGCTGCTGCTGATTGACAGCTCAGCTGAAGCTGCTGTGTGGGTTTCTGCTGAGTCAGAGGTTTTAAAGTGGAGGTGGAGACCAGGAGCAACAGGCAGCACATAGTTACCATAGAGATGCACATCTGTGACACATCACTGTTTGTACACAGGTGTTAATGTGAAAACAAAGATCATTCTGCTTTCATTATAGTTCATCTCCTCTTTTGAACTATTTCTTGTTTCCCAGACTTCTCTGTTTCTCTGAACTGATTCACTGAGAAGTTTCTTCGTCTTGATTTGAATCTGACAGCAGATAAAAAATCTGGCTCACGATGATGCAGAAATACAAACAAACATTCCTGTTACCACAAACACATTCAGGTTGGTGCTGAATTTAGTAACACAGACTGTTATCTGTTGTTTAACAGCTGGGATGAAAATACAAAACTACTGTGACTTTAACCCTTAAATGTCCTGTCACATTTCGGTCATTACATTTCTTCATTTCATAACACATGAAACCTCTTCCAAAGACATATTTAACCCAGAACAGAACCCGTTTTGTGTTCTGTTGTTCAGTCTCTTCATTAAAGCTACATGATGTTTCATTGAGTGAAATATTCAAACCCAAAACTCCATCAGATGGAACATTTCTACATGTCTTCTGCATCATTTTAGACACATTTACCCAAAAGCCTGAAAGATCTGGTAGTTTTGTAAACTTTGGGATCTCCACTACATAGTCTCATATCTGAAGCAGTGGTTATGTGTTGTTCTCTGGACGAGCTCTGCTCTCTACTTCATCCATGTAGAGCTAAGCGACAATGGGAGAGACTTGTAAAGCCCCACAACTGTGCTTCTGCCTGTAAAAACCCTCTTTGTATTTGGGGAGTAGAAAGGTTTATAGTTGATAAAAAATATTTGCCTTAGAGTTCTGTGTCATGATCTACTCTACAAATCTGGAAGGCTGCCAGTTGCAGCAAAACGTCCAGTATCAATCTGCACGGCTACGTTTCTGTGAAGCACAAAATGGAAGATGAAGAAGTGTTAATTTCTCCCACCAGAGGGCTCAGGATTCTATCAGAGCTAGAGGAAGTAGTGGCAGGCCTAATCTGCTGTAGTTGTATTGTATTAGCTACAGTAGAAATAGTACATGTGAGATAAGATAAGATGAGATATAACTTTATTAATTCCCCACAGGGGAAATTTCAGTCGACATAGCAGCACAAAGGAATATAAAAGAACAGATGCAGTTTATTTTTTTATAGAAGCATTAACACACTATTTACTCCATACTACTAGTACAATACAAATAGTACCAATAATGCCAGTAATACTGTTACTGTTGTGTTTTTATACATAGATCTCACTGTATTTTTTTGCCAGTAAAATAAGAGGTGAGAGCGTCATCATCATGATTTGTAATGAAATATCTACATACAGAGGCCCATTATCAGCAACCATCAGACCTGTGCTCCAATGGCACGTTGCGTTTGCTAATCCAAGTGTATAATTTTTAAAGGCTAATTGATGATTAGAAAACCCTTTTACAATCATGGTAAAGCAGGTGAAAACTGTTGTGATGATTAAAGAAGCAATAAAACTGGCTTTCTTTATTCTAGTTGAGTATGTGGAGCATCAGAAGTTGTGGGTTCCATTACAGCAAGAAACAAAGAACTTCAAACAAAGAAAAATCATTAGTCAGTCTTGTTCTGACAAATGACTCGATTCCTTCTGAGAAAGATCTCATACAATGCTGTGTACTATTGGGATCTCTGACATGTATAGCAATTGTAGGTCGCTTTAGATAAAAGCGTCAGCTAAATGAATAAATGTAATGTAATGTAAACTGTGAAGCTCTGGTGAACTCTATGCCCATGAGGGTAAAGGCAGTGCTGGAAAACAATGGTGGCCACACAAAACATGGATTCTTTGGGGCCCAGTTTGGACATTTTCACTCAGGGGTGTAATTGTTTCCAGCGGTTTAGACTTTAATGGCTGTGTGATGTGTTATTTTGAGGGGACAGCAAATTTACACTGTTATACAAGCTGTACACTCACTACTTTACATTGGAGCAAAGTGTCATTTCTTCAGTGTTGTCACATGAAAAGATATAATCAAATATTTACAAAAATGTGAGGGGTGTATTCATATATGTCAGTTATAATTGACCTGCAATTAATTTCCATTTATCTATTTCCAGTATAATTATATTAATTATAACACAACAGAAATCATGTCACAATCCTGTCCAGAGGTTTTCTGTGTTCTGTATCTTGATTCTTGTTTCTCTGTTTCTGGGTTTTGGTTCTTGATTCTAAGGTTGATTTTGTGTCGGCATTTTAGTCCTGTCATCTGTTCTGTTGAGTTTAGTTCTCTGTGAGTTTACTTATTGATCAGTTCGTTATCTGTTATTTATTCTGGGTTATTATTTATCTGGTTATTATCTGTCAGTTAGTGATTAGTGGTGTTTTGGTATTTTCCTCATTTCTGTTCTGTTCCATGTTTAGTGTTGTCCAGTTTCCTGGTTGGTCCTGTCTCTGTTCCCTACCCCGTTCTGTGTTACAGTTGGTTTGGGCTTTTCTTCCTTGTCCTGTGTTCTCTGTTTAGCCTTCTTTATTTCATTGTTCACTTGCAGGTTCTGTTTAGCTCACTTTGTACTTTGTCTGTCTTGTATCTTAAATTTAGCCCTGCATTTTAGTTCTGTGTCTTAGTTCCTAGTTCTGTGTTTTCTTGTTTCAGTCTGTTTTCCCTGTTATGTTGCAGTCCATCTGTATTAGTTTGTGGTCTACGCTGTGCCTTTAGAGCTGTTTGGTCTGTTTCCTGTCTAGTTTGGTTTTGATCTATGCCTGCCTTAGTTCCTGTCTTAATCTGTTATTATCCAGTGTTTGTTTCATGCTTGGTTTCTTTCTGCCAAGTGTTTTATTGTGATATCTGCCTGATTAGTCGTAAATTTGTTTATGATTATTCTGTCTTATATTGTTCTGTTCTGTTCAGTTATCTTAGTCTGTTCTGTCTTGTGGAGTTGCCTGTGTTTCTCAATTACTTGGTCTGTCTTCTCTGTTCTGTGTTTTGTGCTGCAGTTAGATTCTTGCCTAGTGTTTTGCAACCTGTTAGCGTCTGTCTGTTTTCCCCTGCTGTCTCTCTGCCTGCCTGTGTCAGTCTGCTACTATTATTATTTGTGCTCCCGCCCTCCTCGTTAGCCAGTGTTTAAATGTGTGTATTCTTGCCGTGTGTCTGCCTGTTAACTGTCTGTTCCTGATCCCTGTTGCTTGTTGGAGTATTACCTGCTGGATTGTTTTGGACTTTGCTTTCTGTTCCATGGACTTAGTATTTTTCTTGCTCGTTTTGTATTACTCTTGTTTGCGGACTACCTTTGTTGAATTTTGGACGCTGCCATAAGTTTTGTTGCCTTTAATAAGTACTCAGAAACTGTACCTGTTCTGCCTCTGTGTCCTGCGTTTGGGTCCAAAAACCTGTTCCTGCCTGAAGACACAGCAAAGCGTGACAAATCATGATAATACAATACACTTATTTTTTCGATTTAATTGCATTACATTACATTACATTAACTCATTTGGCAGACGCTTTTATCCAAAGCGACTTACATGTCAGAGGTGGATGTGATATACAGGTACACATACATACATACCTGTACACATGTACACAGTGTGATGCAGCATAGTGCAAAGGATGCTGGAATGAATGAGTATTATGTGCAGGTGTTATGTACTTGAGGTAGGTGGGTTTGGTAAACAGTATATACAATATGACAATATAACAGTTTGATCAGTGTGCAATAGAGAATGATGAATAAATAATCCAGTAACCAGTATACAGGTGGCTTAGAGACAGAGTTACTGGGTTATTGCACAGGAATTGTTCCTGACACTGTGAGTCAGAAATCAGCTGTTCATCAGAGAGATGGCTTGTGGGAAGAAACTGCTTCTGTGTCTGTTGGTTTTGGTGTACAGTGCTCTGTAGCGCCTACCAGAGGGGAGAAGCTGGAACAGGTTGTGAGGGGGTGAGATGGATCTGCAGTGATGTTTCCTGCCTGTTTCCTGACTCTGGAAATGTATAACTCCTGAATGGAAGGCAGGTTGGCAGTGATGATCTTTTCTGCAGTCCTGACTGTCCGTTGAAGGATGATGTGATCATCCTTTACTGTTTTAGTTCCTTATTTAATGAAATGTATGAAATTAATTGTCCTTATCTAATTTATATATAGCTTTGGCAATACTGTTGATACATTCATGCCCATAAAGCTGATTTGAATCATCTCTATAATATCTTTAAATAGTGTAGACTGCATGTGAACATTAAAGAAACACATCATCGAGCTTCCTGGTTCATAATTTGGTCTCAACTGACTCATTCAGCAGCAGACAGGTTTTTCTCCGTGTGTTTCTTTGTGGTAGGATCCAACAGACACCTCATCTTTGGCTCTGGAACTGAACTCTATGTAAGATTAAACATAAATTTTCCTTCTATTGTTTTATTGTAGAGGTCATTAAGTTTTGTTGTCGATCATTTTCTTGGTCATCCTAAAACCTTAAAGTAATGAGAGAAACTCAGGGTCGATGTTGTAACTCTGCCCTGTGTTCTCATCAGCTGCTGTTTAATCAAACTTTACATTGAGGAAATTCTGGATGAATGATTGTAGAGGATTTTTCTGTTAATCAGTTGACTTTTTAAATCTCCAGTAAATCAAAGTGAATTTAAGAGATGAGCGCGATTCTCCAGAGATGATCTAAATTTTCAAATTCAAACGCAGAATTAATGTTACAAATTTCAAGTATTTCGTAATATCAGTGAATCTGTGTTATTTGTTTCTTACTGGTTGTTTATTTGTGTGGTATATGATTTTAACATGTTTGATTTATAGTAAATATATTGTAAATATTATATGGTGATAAATAGATAATATTGTTGTGTTGATAAATATTGTTAGTTTGTATGATTCAAACTGTATTTAGTGTTCTAAATATATTTTATATTGTGAAAAACATTGTATTCTAAGAGATATAATTTACATGAGGGTTACATCAGGGTTTCTACTTATTTCATTATATTACAAAATATTTTTACAATCATGGAATCATATACAAATCATTTTTACCACTAATTATGATATATCAGATATATATATCAGGAAACATTACATAACTTTTTTAAATTTCCAGATATACATTTTAGATTATCTGTATATGATATATGGTGGAAAATATAAAGGCAACAGGAAAATATTTCAATTACAAAGTGAATTGTTTGTGATCAAAAACATGGGAAAGTCATATATATATATTCTGTTTTATTAATATTGTATCTACATTTATTGAAATACATGGGGTAGACAAAATAGTAGAAACATTCTGTATATTTAATGTCTATATTAAAATATATTCTGGTAAACATACTGTTATTTTACAAGACTAATGTTTTTAGTGTTTCTGCTGATGACTGTGTGAATGTGTGTCTGTGCTGCTTGTTGCTGTTGTCAACCTTTAGATGGGCAGGTAGTGAAGCCCGTGGCGAGCGTGTACCCAGCAGCATCCAGGGACCACCTGGAGGGGAAGAGCTCCCCGCTGTGTGTGGTCTCACCTCCACCAGCTGCACCCGTCCAGTCCTGGCACAGAGAGTGGCTGCTCTGTCTGCTGTAGTGCTGATAGTGAAGAGTCTGGTGCACTGCTGTGAACTCTCTCTCAGATCCTCAGAAACGGGGCAGTCCACCGTCATCACACAAAAGACTGACTGACTATATCCCAACAGATTTAACTTCTCATGGCTGCTAAAGCCTGAAGATAAAGTCCAGAGCCGGTCTCTGAAGTAAAGAATCTTATCTACCTCTTCAAAAACAAACAATGAATCAATCTGACTAACAAGTCCTGTCTGCATGGCCAAAGCCTGAACTTCACATAATGTCTATTGTTGACCAATAACATTTAAAAAAGATGTTTTGCATTTAGGTGACACGTTCCTTCGTTATGAAGAACCTGGTTCAGTGTAGTTTTGTTTTGACTGGTGTAAACAATACTTGTTACACACACTGGACTTGTTAGCGGAAACAATCAGTCATTTTGTTGAAACAAAATCAAAAAAAAACCATAACGCTAACATCATCATCATCCTTCAATCTTCAATCCTTTCAATCCATTTCTTGTTGATAACATCTCCCATAACAACGTTCAGTTGTTTTCTAATGTAATGCTTATTTTGTACATGATACTAAAAATTTTACTCTAATATTTTGCTGAATATTTGATTTTCTTCATGTCTTCAGCTTAAGTTACAGATTTTTTTATCCAAATGTTGCAGTTTGGTTTTTGCTCTTATTTTATTGACAGTTTTTTGCTCATTTTTTATACATAAAGTTCAGTTTTTTTAAATAACAACAGGTCTTTTATTTTTTACAGTCGTTTTTATTTTTTACAGTCATTTATTTTTTGACTCTGTTAATCTTTGAACTAATGCCCAGTTTTAATAAACTAAAATATTTAACTTTAACTTTAACTTTTCTTTTCAAAGACAAACTTTATATCACTTGATTAAAAATGACTCACATTTTTATTTTTATTAAATATATTTTTTATTAATTATATTGTTGTTTTCTTAAGACATTTTAAAATGTCATTAACATCACAAAATATTTAAGGACCTGTCATTTCTAAAATTGCATTCTTCTTCATTTATACTGAACATTTTCTGCAAAATGTCAGTTTGTTCCTTTAAATATAAAAACATATAAACTACAGGTAAAAATCAGTTAATAAAAACAGTCAATACAAGTTTAACATCAGAGTATATTTTAGTCTTTAGTCGCATTTCTTTTAGTTTACCGTCTGTGCTTGTTTTGCAATAATATATTGTGCAATGTAACAAACAGGAATTCTGAATCTGTATTGAGTATGGTCGTCATTGTTGGTCTGTGGGCTCAGTTCAACTCTGTGTGGGTGGAGGGCTCAGTTTAAAAAAGACTTCCAGACAACAAGAGAAAAAACAACCAGCTACAGAGAGGGTGAGGAGTTGATGAGTGTGTACAGCCGCAGATATGAACCTGTTCTCAGTGGTTATTAGGACTCATAAAAAAACTGTTGACAGCCAATCAACACTTCCTTTCCTGCAGCAGACGGGCTGTGTGGTTTTCTGCTCTGCAGCCTCCTCACCGCTAGCTGCACTTTTTCACATCAGTAACACAATGACAGTTACAACGGTCGACTTTGGTTAAAGAATCATTGCAGGAAGTTCAGTTTGATCTGTGTTATTAATCTGTGAGAAAAATTACTTGAAATCCTGAACTCAGAAGCTGAAATAGAAGGAGATATGTTGAACCTGCTGCAGTCTTCTCTGATCCTACTTTATTACCCCGCACAGATTGTAACAGTCAGTCAGTCAGCAGAGTGTTCAAATTGGAATAATAACCAAACAACGCTTCAACACAACAGCAGGCTAAATAAAAAGTTAAGCTGCGTTATATTGGTTTGAAAGAAATAAACACACAGCCATCGTGTTGCCTACATTCAGACTTAAACCCGACTGATTGTTCATGTGTGTAAATCAGTGTCATCAGCGTAGAGTTTTATATCCACACTGACACAATTATAAAAGGGGGACAGCAGTGAACCTGATGGCACACCTGCTGACTTTAATATAACAGTTATTTGTTTACTCATCTTTGTTTAGCTTTGTTATCCTTGTTCTAATTATTTGCTGTGAAGCCAAACTGAAATCCATAAAAAATAAGAATGTTTAAAAAACACAGACGCTGTGATTTTTCAGTTTATTGAGAAAGTTAGACTGACACACTCTGCAAAATGTATTAAAAAGAGACAGAAAAATATCGTATACAATAGCATATTTAGCAGACGGCTAATGATTCAGCTTCATTTTGTAGCATTATAAAAGTCACGATTAAATAATGGAAATAAGAGCATCAAAATAACTGTATACTACAAAAATAACAGTCAGTAATTGCATATATATATATATGACGTTTATAGTTAATAAATTATTAAAATATAACTTAAAGCTATTCTCCTTGGGGCACCACTCCTAAACAAGAGATACATACAATTACTTATTTCAGTCTCATGAAATACACTAACCATTAATAGATAGTGGGTTGAAGGATCTGGATTCCTATGTGGAGGAGGTTGGCAATATATTCACTCTATATTAAAAGAAACTGCTATATATATATACCCAAGCATTTATTTAACAAGATAAACAAATCAAAACACTCAAGACCAAAATAAACTAATTGTTCAGTTTCAATCTTTTGTTGTGCCATAACACAGGTGAGGGGGTCTGGACGGTGACACTTCTCAGAGTTGGCCGATAGCTAATTGAGTTCAATGGCTCACATGATAATGGTTCACTTATTATCACCAATTAACAAACTTATCTGTGAGGTCCCTGTGATCCCAACAATGTATATGTGTTTATATTTTTAGGATGACTGTTTCTAACCTGTGCATAAAAGATATCTTTTACAACTAACCACAATATGTCTGAACCTTTCTGACTGCAAATCAAAGAGATATATTAGATGAATTGATGAGATTTGATGGTAGCAAAAACCAACAGAAAACGTCAGTCAGCATGTGTGCAGCAGGTAGACGGCCCCTTATTTCTGCGGATCCTCAGCAGAGAGAGTCCACAGCAGTACACCAGACTCTTCACTATCAGCACTGTGTACATCAAAGAGAGCAGCTTCACCCTGCACTGAGACTGGAAGGACACTGATGGTGGAAGTGATGGTTGAATTGATGGTGGAAGTGACGGTGTAGTTGATGGTGGAAGTGATGGCGGAGGTGATGTTTTTGCTGGAACCTCTGAAACAGAAAAGGAGTCAGAAAGAAATGTCAGTCCTCTGAAGCTAAATCTCTGCTGAACACAGTCACCAAGCCTTCATTACCTTGTTGTAGTTGGGCCTCTTCTCTGCCCGTCTCATGCTGGACGTAACAGACGTGTTCATACGTGTAGAGAGCGTTCTGATCGGTCACTCTAATGGCGGCAATGCATTCCGACTCTTTGAGCTCCTGCTGCTCCTCCTTAGCAGGGGGTAGCTCCTCCAGAGGACCATTCTCCTTTCGTCTTTTCCAGGAAAATTGAACCTGAGGAGGAAACATGTCCGCAGCCACACACAGCAGGAATCTCTTCTCCTCCTGTCCTTTTCTGGATGCTGCTGGGTAAACACTCACCACGGGCTTCACTACCGGGTCATCTGAAGTTTGACAGCAGCAACAAGCAGCACAGACACACATTCACACAGTCAACAGCAGCTTCCAGCACTGCATTCACTCTGATCCTGGAAACTACATGGACTCTGATCACTGAGCTCCTCATCAATACAGCACACGTCATGTATATTAATATTATGTTATATTGGGAAAAAATACAAAGTTACTTACTTAGCAATTCTTTTTTAGAACTTAAAAGTTACATCAATTATCTGATCATTTTAAAACCCAATTAACATGTAATGTTCAGATATGAGAAATGAAAGGAAAGCCTGGTCTCATCCCAGGGTGTCAAATACTGATGCTTTGAGAAAGAATGAAAAGGCATCGGCGTTTGACACACAACATACACTTCGGCGTCCGCATGATAAGCCCTGGACTTTCTTGTAACTCACCCATCTGCCTTCACATTATTACACAAACCATGATTTTTTCCTTGACCTAACCTTAAACATGATCTTTTACTAAACCTAACCAAACCGTGATCTTTTGGTTTTTATGATGGCAGCTAACCAAATTACATCTATACCACACATTAAAAAGCGTCTCCTGTGGATGCTGAAGGTAGCTTGTCTGTCAAGTACCAATTTGATGAGAACGTGTTGGAAATGATGACTATATATATATATATATATATATATATATATATATATATATATATATATAAATAATGTACCATGATATAAAATACAAATATCATGCAGTACATTTTAAAATTATATGCTATATAATACATTAATAAAAATACATTTGCTGACATATTTAATTATGTTTCATATCACAGTTTAAAAAAACAAGGGACAGAGCTGAATCACTGAGAGGACTAAATATATTTCTAATTTTGCCAATACCTTTTTCTATCTGAATCAGTCTTATCTGGTGCAGAAATAAAGAATAACTTAATTTGTGCAGTGAGATTTAAACATCTTTTCAGGAATTATAATTTTTTATTAACTAACATGTGGAGCCTGAAGCAGCAGAAATTAAAAACCCATTTTTGACTTATTCAATAAAACAACAGAAGGAACATTAATGATTATTCTTACCTGTTACATACAGTTTAATTCCAGAGCCAAAGATCAAGTAGGAGTATGTGTATCCTCCCACAGTGAAACAGAGTAATACAAAAACCTGTTTGCTGCTGAATGTGTCAGCTGAGGTGAAAGAGTCTAAATGATGAACCAGCATCATAATCCAGCTGCACGATGTGTTTCTTTAATGATCATATCAACATGAGTGTTTTTTTATTTTCAAGCATTGTTGCTCTGTGGATTATGCTGTCTGCTGGTCCACTAATTTAGTCAAGATGGATTGGACCTGAAATTCTTGGTCCCCAGAGGATTCACTTCATTAATTCACTTTGTTGATTCTGACTCTAGAACCAAAAGCAGGTCTTATATGGATTACCATTAAATGCAGTTCAGACGTTCATGTTCCCCTCAGGATGAATGGTAATAACTTTGGTGATCCTCTGACTTTTCATCAGCGCCATCAGGTCAAACTTATAATTTGTTCAGTACTTTGGTTTATGACCAAATACCTGCAGAAATAATGACATTGTGACTGTGTATTTGGTAGCACCTGAATTTTGTCGATGTCCTCCCTGATATTCTTTATACAGTGATGTGAAAAAGTGTTTGCCCACTTTCTGATTTCTTACTTTTTTGCATGTTTTTCACTCTGAAGTGTTTCAGATTATCAAACAAATTGAAATATCAGACAAAGATAACAAAAGTAAACACAAAATGCAGTTTTAAAAACAAACGTTTTTATTATTACGGGGAAAAATCCATACCTACATGGCTATGTTAAAACATAAATCAACTGTGGTTTATCACATCTTTGGAAAGCTGAGATCAATTTCCTTAGCTGCACCCAAGCCTGATTACTGCCACACCTGTTCTCAATCAAGAAATCACTTAAAGACGGCCTGCCTGACAAAGTGAAGTAGACCAAAAGATCCTCAAAAGCTAGACTTCATGCTGCAATCTAAAGAAATTCAGGAACAAATGAGAAACAGAGCAACTGAGATTTATCAGTCTGGAAAAGGTTATAAAGCCATTTCTAAAGTTTTGGGACTCCAGCGAACCACAGTGAGAGCCATTATCCACAAATGGTGAAAACATGGAACAGTGGTGAACCTTACAAGGAGTGACCGGCCTACCAAAATTGCCCCAGGAGCACAGCAACCACTCATCCAATGTCAGAAAAAACACACAACAACATCCAAAGAACTGTTTCACTTGCCTCAGTTAAGGTCAGTGTTCATGATATAAAAAATGGAGTTCCAAGACAAAAACCACTGCTGAGCAAAAACGTACTTGGGTTCTGCAGCAGGAAAATGAGCCAAAACATACCAGCAAGTCCACCTCTGAATGGCTTGAGAAAAACAAAATGAAGACTTTGGAGTGGCCTAGTCAAAGTCCTGACATGAATCTAATCGAGATGTTGTGGCATGACCTTAAAAAAGCAGTTAAGGCTAAAACTCTCCAATGTGGCTGAACTACAACAATTCTGCAAAGATGAGTGGGCCAAAATTCCTCCACAGTGACGTAAAAGCCAGTTATCATAAAAACTTGATTGCAGTTGTTGCTGCTAAGGGTAGCCCAACCAGTTATTACGTTTAGGGGGCTCTCACTTTTCCCCCCACTTTTAATTGTGACACCACAGCATATGTTTAGAGTCTATCTGTATAGTCATCCTTATTTTACATGTTGTTTTGCTATTTTGGCCGATACCGTACAAGACATTTATTGCATGTTCTGGAAGAGAGATCCTACTCTTTTCTTGAGGTTAATTACTGCAGTACCACTTATCATGCTGTCCTTTCATCACTTCCCAGGAAATTTAACAAACGATCACTTGGAGTCTCAGTTGACAACGCCAACGATGGTTGTTCAAACTTTGGCTTTGACAACCATAATGAGCTATGAGCACTAATGAACCATCGGTATCGATCATCTATGTTTCACTACTGATGTTCTAATGATGATGATGATGTTGATGATGATGTTCTGTTCTAAAGAGAAAAGACTTCAAAACTCTTCAGGAAATGGTGAGACAACTTAAGCCATCTACCTGCTGCCTCGATAGACATACTGCAAATAGTAAACTGTTCTCTCTAAATTATATTTGTCTTAGTCACTGACTCATGCAAATTTTCAGTTTGGTGTTATTCAATCTTAGTGCAGCATTTAACATTGTTGACCACTCAATACGTCTATGTATCTGAACTAACTAACATGACATGTGGAGTCCCACAAGGTTCATTTCTAGGGCTGCCTCTGTTTAACCTCTTCATGCTCCCGCTAGGCCAAACCATGCAAAATAACAATTCTACCTACCATAGTCATGCAGGCAACACTCACATCCATTTAGCTCTATCATCAAATGACTATCAACTTAACTGAGATAATTGTCTTTGGTGCCAAAGAAGGAAGGGTGAAATTTATCTCACATCTGGACTCCTTGTCTTTGAAACCCAAGCTAGAAATCTTGGTGTTATTATGGACTCTTATGGACCTAAATTTCAACACCCACATTAAGTCAGTAATAAAGCCAGCCTACTATCACCTTATGAACATAACGAGACTTAAAGGGACTCATGTCCAAAAAACACCACAAAAAATTGTTCATCCCTTTAGTACTAGGAGGTCAGACTTGTAATGGCTTGTACTGAATGCTGCTGCTAGAGTTCTAACAAAGAAATGAAAATTTGACCACACCTATAAATCACTAAATGGTTTAGGACCAAAATACATCAATATCAATATAAATTTTATTTATATAGCACACTTAAAACAACCAAGCTTGACTTGCTTCACAAGTTAAAATACTACAAGACACTACTTACACAGTAAAAATACAGCAATAAAACATTATAATATACAGTATACGATATACAACATCACTGAAATGTTTTTAGAATATGAACGTTCTAGTCCTCTCAGGTCATCAGGGACCAATCTGTTAACTGTCCCCATAGTCAAAATAAAAAACATGGAGAAGCAGCATTTAGCTACTATGCATTAAATAGCTAGAATAAACTTCCAGAAGATTAGAGACTTTCTATGAAGGTCATCTCTATAATGACTTATGCATGTTTACAACATGATATAATGCTTCTGTAAGACATTATAACAATTGTTATAATCACTTACAAACATGCATTAGGCGTTATAAAAAAGTTCATAAGTCAATATGACCTTTTGGTTTAATGTATAACTAATAGTAATACCACGTTATAGCACTGTGCGCCAAGAATCTCCGACCATGTTCCACACTATAATCATCCACTCTGCCTCGTTATAGTCACAATTCAGAAATAATGATATAAAATGGAATAATAGCTTATAGTAATGTTTAATGTTATATTGTCTGTCTTTGTTTTAAGTAAACTAGTAGTAGTATACATCCCTGTATAATATATTATAGGTGGACATAATACCACATGAACAAATTATAAGAACTTATAACACGTATTTGTTTGCTTTAAGTAAAGTGACAGATTTTGCGCAGGAAAAAAACTTACTTCACTTTATGAACAATCTGTATGAATTTTGAACACAGCTAGGCTAAATCAAAGAGTCTCATTCTCAGCGTGGTGAGAGATGGCTCAAGACCTGTTGCTGACCATTATAACATCATGTAAGAAGAGGCCCAGATGTTGTCACAGATGAATGGCGAGCCTATGGACAGGCCCTAACAGATGCAGTGGACAACTGGAGACAGTGTAGCGACCGCTCCACAAAACATTTTAAATAAAATTTTAAAGTAATTGAATGAGAATACTGGTTAGGCAATAGGGATCAGAATCTTTTGGCACCTCACGATTCGATTACACTGAGATCTACTATTTTTATTCAGCTGCTATCAATTTATTCATTTTTTATTTTTCTGCTATCAAAGCCGACCACTGATGTACAGTATGTGTACAGGACAGATGTTCAGATGAGACCAGACTTTCCTTTCATATCAAGTTCATATTGAACCAGACGTTGTCATTCCTCGACATGCCACTAATTAATATTACTCAGTACATTACATTTATTCATTTAGCTGACACTTTTATCCAAAGCGATGACAGATATCCAACAAAGGCTAAAGTCAAGTGAAACTGGACTTGGTTGAAGATACTGGAAGACATTTCGTCCCTCATCCAAAGGACTTCTTCAGTTCTGAGTGACTGGCAGGGAAACTCAGCTATTTAACCTCAGTGGGGTCGTTATCCCGGGTCATCGATACCGCTGGTTCGTTAGTGTTCCTTGGTGTTGTGACGACAGTCGTTACAGTCGTTGAGACTACCTGTGGCCAAGACTGAACGACCATCGTTGGTATCTTCACCTGAGGCCAATAGGTTACGTTTGTTGAGTTTCCTGGGAAGAGATGAAAGGACTGCATTGTAAGTGGGGGATAAGTGGTGGCGTAGACCCCCTCCTCTGTTCAATGACGGCTTCTCGACCCTGGTGTAGATGCTTCCTTGACACCTCTTTCAAACCATCCATCTTCTCTGTCTAAAATGTGCACCTGGTGGTCCTCAAACGAGTGTCCTCTGTCCTTCAGATGTAAGTAGACTGCAGAGTCTTGACCTGAGGAGTTGGCCCTTCTGTGTTGAGCCATGCATTTGTGTAGTGGTTGTTTAGTCTCCCCAATATACAGGTCTGTGCATTCCTCACTGCATTGGACCGCATACACTAGATTGCTTTTCTTGTGTTTGGGTGGGCGGTCTGTGTTTTTTAAACCCAAGAACACACTAAGAAAGATGCTGGTACACCCCAAAGACCACACTGGGATTGGCGTATAGATAAGATGCTTGCCTTTGGTGTTGAGACATCCACCATTGTGTCCCCTGAGCAAGGCACTTCACCCCTAGTTGCTCCAGAGGCGTGCGACCTTTGACATGTATGGCAATTGTTAGTCGATTTGGATAAAAGTAAATGTAAATTATATTGTGTTATAAGCATCATAATAAGCGTCATAATGACCTTCATAGAAAGTGTTCTCGAGATTTGCTCCGAATCAGACAACTTATAAGTCCACACCAAGAATGTTTATGTTCCCCATTGCTTTCTTCTAGACTACAAACCTTGCATATACTCTACAAGAGAGACAGGTCAAATTGTAGTGGCACGATGACTGACCAGAGGGGTCAGAAAATGTGAGTGTAACTTTTGTTAGATGTAAACCTTACACTGATTTGATTGGATTCTTTTATTGTTTAATGTAAATATAATTTGATGCATTATTTTATATTTTATTTATTTTGTAAAATTATATTATGTGAAACGCACAGAGTCTGCGTCATGTATGAATAATAAATAAAGGTGCCTTGCTTTCATCTTTAGTTTGTACTTTTATTGTTTTCTCTTTATCTTGTTTGCTCATTGTGCTTCTGTGCTGCTAGTTTGTCCTCACTGTGTGGAACAACAAGAAACCTGCTGGAATATCTGATCAAATAGAAATCAATAGAATATTAAAGAAATCCCTCAGCTCAGTATGTTTGTGACTCTGGCTGAGATGGAGGTGAAATATGTGAACCTGGGCTGTGGTTTACTGCTCTCTTCCTGTCACAAACACTGTTTGACATCTGCTGGTTTTTGTTCAGGCTGCAGGGATCATTTCTCACTGTGGGCAACACTCTTCCAACAGGCGCAGTAGTAGGTGGCTGAATGAGAGGGTTTAACGTTCTTGAGCTGCAACTCACAGCCGTTCTGTTTTCTCACAGCTGAGAAATCATCTTTCTGAGGATGATTGAAACCTGAGTATACATAACCATCACTCCTCTGAATATAAAGAATCCTTGTGAATGTGTCTGTGTCTTTCTTCTGGTACCAGTATACATAATCAGTGTCACACTGGTCAGTTCCTCGACAGCTGAAGGAGACAGTTTGACCAGCTTCCCTGGTCAATGTTAAATCCTCCTGAATCAGCTCTGCTGCCATGGCAACCAGCGCTGTAGAGACACAGACAGATAGATGAAGGTCAGTGTGACAGTGTTTGTTCCAGGTGGAGTTTGCTGGCTCCTGATTGGCTGGAAACACTCACCTGAACACAGACAGCACAGAGCAGCAGCTGGGAGGAAAAGCATTGTGTGCAGTGGTGTTTCCTCTGGTGAACCTGGGGAGAAGTGGCGCTCTGATGCAGCTGAGGCCAAACAAGGACGAGCTGTGAGATCAGACGAGGGCCGCGTGGTTTCTAACGGGTCCTCAGACCTCCCATCAGCCCCTGCGGCGGACAGATAAGGCTGCTGCTGCTGATTGACAGCTCAGCTGAAGCTGCTGTGTGGGTTTCTGCTGAGTCGGAGCTCATTCTGCTTTATTACAGTTCATCTCCTCTATTGAACTATTTCAAATCACTACAGCTACATTAGAAAGAAGGAAAACTACAAACTCGGCTGATTCTAACAGTGAAAATCATCAGTTCAAGGCAGGAACATGTAGTTGTGTCTCTCTAGTATAAAAAGTTAACCAGCTTCTTGTTTTCATTGTGTGGTTCGTCACACTGAGACCTTCATTCTCCAAAATCCTGTTTGTGTTCAATCTTCAAATGTCTGTTGTTGAAAAAGAAGATGAAGGTTACTGTCAGCCAGCAGATTCATTTCTTACTGGCACTATTTATCTTTCTGCATCACATCTTTATTTTGTGTTCTGTTGTTCAGTCTCTTCATTAAAGCTACATGATGTTTCACTGAGTGAAATATTCAAAGCCAAGCCTCGGCTCTCTACTTCCTCCATGTAGAGCTCAGCCACAACAGGAGACACTGGTGAAGCCAGTACTGCTTCTGCCTGTAAAAACCCTCCTTGTATCTGAAATAGGTATTCAGGCAGAAACTGGGGCCAAAAAGTCCTTTAGATTAAATGAGAAAACATGTTGTTTGTAACGGACCTTTAAAGCTGAACTTGTTGGTAATACATTTGTATTGTGCGTTTATTTTTTCTCTTCTTATCACTTTTTATTTGTTTCTCATGCCCACCGTAGTGGAGTGTAGTGGTGTTTTAGTGCAGTACTTGCATTACATAATGTTATGGTTACTTTCCACCACTCTCTGTATGTGTGCAATTTCAAATGTCATTAGATCACCAAACGTCTACATAAAAAATGAAGTAGAATGCAGCTGTTTGGATATTTTTGATCATTATTATTATTACGTCTTCACATCCATGTTGCTCTCAATCGTGGGTAATCTTTCTTCTTTTATAGACTTGATAGATTTTGGATTTTTACAGTTTACGCCTCTCGTCTCATTGACGTCTGGAAGTTTAGACGTTTTTTTGACACTTATGATAGTGAGCAGATTGACAATATGTCATGTGACGTCTGTCAAATATATTTTTTCCACTCTAAACTGAAACTACTAATAAATACTAATAATCCCACTTCTGCTTCCAGTGAGTTTTAAACCATAACTTATAAAAGTACATTAAAAATCAACAAGACCAAAACCCTAAATGTTCTTTTAACACTTATTTGTCATATTGATTTTATTTTGACACTGTATTTAAAATTTAAAACATAAAAATCCAATATGTTTTTACATTTTACATATTTTGTGCTACAAAAACAATTTTAAACCAATCTACATATTTTGTCACAGTTACAAGATTTTAGGTATCAAAATATATTAAGATTTTTTTTTTTGCAGTTTGAATATTTCTGTATTTTAAATATTTTCAAAAACATTAAAACATTTTACTGCTGGACCTCTGGAAATAATTTAAAGTTCAGCTCCACATGCATTGATAGAAAGAGGAAAATAATAAAGTTTTTCTTTTTTTAATGTGTTTTCATCTTGTTCAGTTTCATCTTTACTGGTTGTTGTTGTCTTTCGTCAGGAGTTGCTTTAAATTCAAATATTAAAAATTTTGTATAGATTCATCAATTGTAATAAAAAGAAATTATAAAAACAATACTGCAGCTCATTTGGAAAATATATATGTATTCATAATTATTTAAGAGTTTTAACAGATGACTCTTAAATAGCTCAAAGAAATTAAATCATACAAGAATGGAATTATTTATCATACATTTATATAAAAAAATCCCCCTCTCCCGCCTTGCGGGGTGGTATGTGTCATCCTCAAGCTCGGGTCCTCTACCAGAGGCCTGGGAGTTTGAGGGTTCTGCGCAGTAACTTAGCTGTTACTAGGACTGCACTCTTCTGGACAGAGACCTCTGATGTTTTACCTGGAATCTGCTGGAGCCACTCTCCCAGTTTGGGGGCCCCCAGTGCTCCGATTACCACTGGCACCACTGTTGTTTTTGCTCTCCACATCTTTTCTAGCTCCCCTTTAGCCCTTTGTATTTTTCAAGCTTCTTCTTGATGTTGCTGTCACTTGGGATCACTCCTCCTATCACTGCTCCCTTCTTCTGCTGTTTGTCGATCAACACGATGTCTGGTTGGTTAGCCATCACCAGTTTGTCAGTCTGGATCTTGAAGTCCCACAGGATCTTAGCTCGGTCATTCTAACCTATTTTAGGAGGCGTCTTCCATTTTGACCTTCCAGCCCATACTCATGGCAGATGTTCCTGAACACTATGACAGCTACCTTGTTATGGCGTTCCATGTACGCACTTCCTGCCTGCATCTTGCACCCTGCTGTTATGTGCTGTACTGTCTCAGGGGCCTCCTGTCTGCACCTGGGGTCCTGCCTGGTGTGGTAGACCCCAGCCTCTATTGATCTTGTACTGAGTGCCTGTTCTTGTGCCGCCATGATTAGTGCTTCTGTGCTGTCCTTCAGTCCAGCCTTTTCCAGCCACTGGTAGGATTTCTTGATATCAGCCACTTCTTCTATTTGTCTGTGGTACATGCTGTGCAGCGGCTTGTCTCTCCATGAAGGTTCTTCGTCTTCCTTGTCCTCACCCTCGGGTTTCTGCTGCCTGAGGTATTCACTAAGCCCTTCATCTTTGGGGGCCATCTTCCTGATGTACTCCTGTATCTTCGTCGTTTCATCCTGGACAGTGGTCTTGACACTCACTAGCCCTCGGCCTCCCTCGCTACGCTTGGTGTACAGTCTCAGGGTGCTGGATTTGGGGTGAAACCCTCCATGCATTTTGAGGAGCTTTCTTGTCTTCATGTCAGTGGCCTCTATCACCTCCTTTGGTCAGTTCATTATACTAGCGGGCTATCTGATGACTGGCACTGAACACTGTCTGTGTTGATGGCTCGGATCTTGTTTTTCCCATTCAGCTGACTTTTCAGGACCTGCCTCACTCCCTGTAGGTATTTGGGCGTGGCGGACTTCCTTGCTGCCATCCTCATCTTCCCTCTTATATATAAATATATACATATATATAAAAATATAAATATATATATAAGCTTAATTTTATATTATTTATTTTCAGGAGTTGATAAATAAATAAATATACCTGTACCTCTATCTGCTTGTTCAGGACTGAGTGAAAACCAAAATAAACTCTCTTCTATTCATTGTATAATATTTAATAATATTCCAGAAAATCTTACATAATATATTGTGAATTATCTTGATGTTGTTCCAAGATGTTTTTTACTCTCAGCCCTCATTTTAAACCTGTAGTTTTCGTACTACAGTTTCTGACAGTACTTCTATCTGTTTTGTGCTGCTGCTGTCAGGATTATAACTGTCACACTGCTGCCCTCTAGTGTCTGCAACAACAACACACTGCCTCTCCAACTGATACTACCTTACAGAAATATTGTGAGCCAGGTTCAGGTGTTATGAAGAAGTTTCGAAGCCTGATGAAGACTTAAAATAGCATGGTTTAATGAGACTCAGCTGAGGAGATGCAGTGCCTGAATCTGTGTGAACACGTGGAATGCCGACACTAAACCTGAAGAATACTTCCTGTCTGTCTGTAATGAAACAAACCAGAGATAATCTGGACCTTGGGTTACCTAACAAATGGATAACAGAGCTTCATTATCAAGTCAGCTGAGTCAGTCAGTCAACAAGCAGACAGAGAAAAGACTCATGAGTCTGAGCTACATTTTGGAGAGTGGCTGGCTGTCACCTTTGGCTTACTTTAGCTCAGCAGTTGACCCTATAATGACCTGGTGAAACCTGAGTCACAGTATCCATAAATTATTCACTAACAACTACTACTGCTATTAATACTAATACTGCTCCAACTGCTGTACTGCTGTTACTGTGTACATCAAGTCCTTCACACTGCCGCCCTCTAGTGGCTGCAACACACTGACTCACACACAAGGCCTTTACTACTACTACTACTATTACTACTACTACTATTACTACTACTACTACTACTTCTATTACTATTACCAGGCAGTACTACTCCTACTGTGGCTGCTGCTGCCTCTACTATTACTAATAGGACTTCTGCTTATGTGCTGCAACTAACTGACTGGACCTTCAATGTCATTTAACCGGTTTTAATTAATTGATTAATCATCCACAAAGATGAATTGATTTAAAAATGTTTTATATTGATTAACTATTCACTTAATCAAATCATTGCATGCTTCTACCAATTCAGCATCAGCTGCTGCCAGGAATAAAACACAACTCCTTCAAGCTGTGGTCCATTTGTGCATTTGTTACCTGCTCCTGTATTTTTGGTTCCTGACTGTTGGTGTGCCCTCTTGGATTTGTTTGACTGTTGATTTTTTTGTATGCTAAAAGAGTACACTATTACGATCAGTATGTAGTATAATATAATTTGTATGAAGTGTGCATTTGGAAGTAATGTAGCTCACTAGTGGCTACAACAACACACGGCTTCACTCACGAGGCATTTCACTGCTGCTGCTGCTTCAGCTCCTGTTACCAAGCCCTTCCTGAAGTACCTCAACAACTATTGGATGGATTGTGATGAAATGTGTTTCTGTTTCCGGCTCTGACAAAGTAGCCTCTAGTCATGTTTGTATGAGGACTTGTTGGCTCTCATCAACACCAAGTGTAAACTGTAAAGTTCACCTTTGATGGCTAAAATCCCCATAAATAAAGTCCACGGACGGGCCGTGAGTTGATGAGTGTGTACAGCAGCAGATATGAATCTGTTCTCAGTGGTTATTGGGACTCATAAAAAACTGTTCAACAGCCAATCAGCACTTCCTTTCCTACAGCAGACAGGCTGTGTGGGTTTCTGCTCTGCAGCCTCCCCACCGCTAGCTGCACTTTTTCACATTAATAACACAATGACAGTTACAACCATCGACTCTGGTTAAATAATCATTCCAGGAAGTTCAGTTTGATTTCAGCGCTCAGTACTCACTGTCTCAGCTTTGATCTGTGTTATTAATCTGTGAGAGAAACAGCTCAAATCCTGAACTCAGAGCTGAGAAGCTGAAATAAAATGAGATATATTCAACCTCCTGCAGTCTGCTCTGATCCCACTTTATTACCTCACACTGAAACAGCAGCAGGCAAAATCCCATTGTTGGTTATTTTAGTGAAGAAAAAAAAAGTGAGTCAAAGTGTTTAACTGACTTAAGAGGATTTTGATTTTGCTGTCTCCTCAGGTGCAATATTAATAACAATATGTCGTCGATCTGTTATCATTCATCAGACCAACAGAACACAAACCAGTCAGACAGAAGCACAAACCACAGAGACAAACAAGTCATCTTGTTGTTTCCCCTCAAAAAAGTCTTTTTTAAGTAGATCTAGAGCAACCATGTTGGT